GAGGGAGTCATGAACTGCCTCATACTTCTCCAGTGTGAGGCAGCTGGGAGCTGCAGCACAGTCACTGCTGACCATTAGAGCCAGATTTATTGACTGTCCCACATAAATAAATAATCACGGGAACAATGAGCACAGCACAGTGACGATGCAGCAATGCTACAGAAAAGAACTAGAGGTTACAGTGAATCACAAACTGAACTCAAGTCCACAAAGTCATCCTCTTGCGAAAAAAACTAATATCACTGGTATGTATAAACAGATATGTCACATGGAGGGCATGTGAAGAAATTCTTCTGCCCTCTGCAGTGCTGGTTAGGCCTCCAGTGGCTGTGGTCCAATCTTGTGTGCTGTTTGCAGAAGTGAGTGCATCAGTTGGAGGCGATCCAGTGGAAAGCAAAAGAAAAGTCTAGAAGTATAACCCATAAGATTGACCCTAGTTATTTCGTTTAACTGAGCATAGGAGATGCATCTTAACTTGTAAAAAAGGCTGCTGTCAAGAGGAGAGGAGTATCTTGTTCTTCTTATCTCCTATTGGCATGGACTAGAGCAGTCAGTTTGACTTGAAGCAGAAGACATGCATTTTAGACACCAAAAAAATGCAAAACACCACTTTCTAATGAGAACAGTGGCTTTGCTGGAGCGGATCAGTTTGGGAAGTGGTGAGTCTCCCATCACTGTGGCCTGGGCTCGGTTCAAGCACGTGGCCTGTATGAGAGTGTGTGGGGGCTGCTTTCCCACTCGCCACAAGCCGGTGGCGACGCTCCACTTCGCAGGGCTGCGCTGCCTCTTTCCATTCCACCTCTGTTGTGTGGTCACTGTCCTACAGCTTCAAGGCCATCCAGGGGGGCATATACCACAACAGACCATGCAACAGCTTGAATTTCAGAAGTCACAACTCAAACATAGGCTATGCACTTGCACAATGTTTGCCTGTGTGTAAGCAAGGCAAGATATTTCTCTACACTATGCCTGCACCCAGGCCTGCTAACCCCAGCACTGCATGGAGCATTGCTTGCAGCATCTCTCGCAGGGTCTGACTCCACTGCGGCTGTTGGGCCTGTAGCTCCTTGCGCCAAGTCCGCAAAAACCTGGGCTGCTCCTTTCAGCATCCCTGCCAGCGTCCTGCCCAGGGGCTCCGGGCTCAGGTTGACCAGCACGACGTTCCTCAGTGCTGCAGGACTCCTTCCCCGCCGCCCCTCCTGCTGCAGAGTCCCTGGCCGTGGAGGGTGATGGGGTTTCCCGGTGCAGCTGGCACCTGGCTGCAGCACTGCGTAGACCTTCGGCTTCCTCAGACCATGCTGCTGTGGGAGGGCCATCACGTGCCACGGTCATGAGAAAGTTTGGCCTTTACATTTCCTACTTTTCTTAACAAAGAGGGATTGCCATGGCAGGAGATAGTGTTCATTAAGACAAGTGTACTAATGTAGCTGTTTTCAGCCGACAGACAGCACCAGGACTTGCAGAAGGAGAGAGCTGTCCCATAAGCCTGGATGTGAATGACTATCCACAGCAACAGCGTTCCTGCTGCAAGGTCCTGTTGCATGGCCAGTGCAAGTCACCTTGCTCTACTTCCAAATGCAGCGAGTGTGGAGATGGGACAAGATCCAGAGGCTGCGGCACGCATCTCATGAGGCCAGCTCACAGGGTAAGTGGAGCACCCTGCAGGTCTCCTGCTTTTCACAGGCCACTTTTGCAGAGTGAAGCATCCCTAGCTAGGTTATAGCAATGTGCCTTTTTGTGTCTCTCACTTTTTTTTTATTTCTGAGGTCAGATAAAAATCGATCTTACCTACAGGCTATTAGATACATAAGCTACCCTATATCTTCCCCATTATTCACTAGCTTTGAGATGCTTTATGTGAATTGTACTGACTTGCTAGCTATGAAAATGAAAGTCTTGCATGGCTTTGGAGAAGCTATCTGTGTGTTTTGTTGTTGTTGTGTGTGCATTTGCTGTTTTTGAGCTTGGTTTCTGCTCGGTTTCCACAGAGAGACAACTAGTGCTGTGCTCCTTTTCATGTTAAAGCCGGGCAATTAAGATTGCTGGAGTCACAATCGTACATTGTTGTGGTTTGACCAGTGATTTGTGAAGATGTTTGCAGATGTGACACAGCAGCCCTGCACACACCAAAAAGTGGATTTAAATGTGTTTATTTTCATTTTCGGAGTGCTAAGGTCGCGATCTGACCTATAACAGAAAAGGTTTGTCTGTTGCTGTGTTCTAAAGATAAATATGTCCTGGGATCTACAGTCACAAAATTCACTAGAGCTAAGTAATATTTTGGACTGATTGTTCATTTGCACATGGGATTGATAGGAAACTAATAATAATAATAATAATAAAAAAACATATTTGCTTTTTGACAGCTGACTCAACCAGGAATGTCCAAGCAGAGATTAGCCTATATTGGTGGAATTGGCTACGGCTGCATGTGTTCCGGGAAGGAGCATCCAGAAGTTGCTGAAAAGAAATGCCAAACAGGAGGAGATAATGTATATAGTGATTTGTAATGGACTCTGGGAGGTTTTTGTGCAGTTTACTGGTTGGTAAGAGACATAGGTCAGCGCTGTGAAAGGGGTGCAGCTCACCCTGAATCAGGGGTTGCAGAGCAGTCAGGTAAAACTCTGCTGGTACGTGTCCTGCCCAAAGATTGGCAGAGACACAGCTTTGCCAGTGCAGTGGTGCTTGAGCCTTTGCTCTCCTGGAGCTGCTGTTTGTCAGTCCTGCCTGGTAACTGGCTAGTCCTGGAAGAGGGAACTGCTTCATCTTACTGTTCTGGCCTTGTTCACAGGAAGAGCCTCTGAGCAGTCCTGGTACTACAGGGCTAGTCAGCACCAGAGAAACACTGGCGTCATCATCAGTTTCTCCTTACATCAAAAAGAGACACAAGGTCTTTACTGCTGCCAATTAGTCAAGCTACAGAAGACATGGAGCTGAGGAGAGATGCAATAAGGGGGAGAGATGCTGAAACAGAGGAGCAATTCTGGGGCGGTAGGAGGTGTAAGGGGAGCTAGTCAGGGCTGATGTGGGTGCTGAAGATCCTGGCAGTCAGGACAGCCAGCTGCCTTGCTGGCAGAAATACAGCCTGCAGGATCTGTCCAGCCCTTCCACTGAGCCTTGCAAGAGGTGCTTGGCCACATTTGCAGAGCTTGAAGCACTAAGCTGAATATACCTGCTTCAGCACCAAAATGCTCTGTGCATCATGGATTGGGGTAGAGCTGCAGAGCTGTGTGGGAGAGCATCCAGAGAAGGATCAGAGTTATGCAGAGAGGGGAAAAGGGCAGGAAGAACCCAGTGCCCCCATGATGCTATGTTTTTCTTCAGTATGGTCAGATTCCCAGCCCTATGTAATTGTTTCTTCAGCACCACATTTTTTCCCCTTTGGCAGCAGGCTCCTACCCTGCCCTCCCCTGCACCCCACTGCAGAGTGCAAGATTACAGGTAGAGCTACAGATTGCATCAGCTTCAGGGACTGTTGCTAGGCAGACCATGGGGCAGTGTCCTTGAGACCTCCCTGTGCCACATTTAACCCATGGCATGGAGCCAGCTGGAGGGAGCTGGAAAATAACCCTTAGGTGCTTGGAGAAGGTCTGAGTCCCTGAAAGTGTTCATGTGTTTGGCTTTGACAAGAAGAGAGAAAGTAGCCTGGAACTGTGCAGTTCTGAGTAGAAAAGAGCCCAAGTGGCTTTGAGACAAGATGTTTCATTGTGAAATGTTTTTGAAGGGTACAATTTCTTATCCAAAGCCCCTAGGTGTGGTTGCTGTGGGAGGCCTGGTTGAGATACACCGACTGCACACAACCACCCGTGAGCCTGTGTCCAGCATCTGTATCTTTGGCCCCTGTAATTCCCATTGTGCCCTCAGCAGCACCCACCACGGCACTGAAGCCGTCTTGGGAATCCATCAGTCCTCAGCAGCATCACCCCAGCCCGCAGGACTGAGCGAGCAGGGGCACTGCTTGTGCCCAGGGAAGACGCAGCCTTATGGTGGTGATGCAGTGGGCATGGGCTGAGCACGGTGGTCCACCCTCCTCCCACGCAGAAATAGGTGTAAACAGACAAAATCACCCTGACCGCTGGCCTCTGCAATGGAGGCGTCAGCAGTCTGTTTGCAAGGAGATTAGAAGCTTCCCAGTTGTCCCTGAGCAGCTCTTTGATCTCCAGCCTTTGGTTGCCAGGGTGATAGGGGAAGGCTTGGAACAGCCCCTACAAGGCAGAGAGAACGCAGACTTCTCCCTTTCCTGCTCCGGGCCTCTAGCAGGTGAAGGACAGAAAGGCACAGATTTCACGTCACTTGAAAGTGATGCACTGGGCAATGGTGTCATCTGCACTCTGCAGCACCATCAGAGAGGGAGGACTTGCATCATCTCTGTTATCTGCCAAAAATGATGAGTATGGGCCTTGCAACACACTAGGCTTCCTTTAACTCCTCAGGTCCTAGTGCATCCCACTAGGATGAAGTGCCTGCCTCCCTTCAGCCAATGGAGATGTCCCATGTATGCAATGATGCCACAAACTGTCTATCCACTGGTAAGCTGGGTTCTCTGGGCCTTTGTGTAGCAGGCAGTGGGTAGGAGAGACCAGTGCTTTCCGTGGCCTTTGGTGTCCATTACTTCACACTTGGTGCATTACAAGAGGCTGGAATAGCTGGACTCTGCTCTCTGTGGGGTCTGCACTGCTCCCCCAGCTTTGAAGGAGGTGGTGCAGAAGGAATCAACCCAGGGTTTTCAAGAGTCAAGCTGTGCCTCTCGGTGAGCTGTTCGCAGAAAGAGTTAATGTACAGGCAGATTCCAGGTGTTTGAATTGAACATAGTTACAGTGGGGAGGAGAGGGCATTTTTGGGTGGGGAGTGCAGCCCTCTCTGCCAGCCAATGGCTAGAGTATTCAAACCCAACGCCCAGTTTTGGGACTTATTTCATGGGTGAGAGTTTGCAGGAATTTCTTCTCAAGGCAGTTTGTCGTGGATGAAAAGTACAGACAGGATCTCCAGGCTCATTAGTGTCTCCCTCTCAGCGCTGTAGAAGGTAAAATACTCTCCTTGCTGCCTTTGGGGGGAAGAGCAGGATTATTCCCCGGGTGTATGCAGTGAAGGTGTCCATTCTGACTGCAATTGCAGTTCCCCTTCACACAAGAACCATGCTGGTGGGTGAAGGCTCTGCTGGATAGACATTGCACCATGCATTTGAGACTCGTCCCTGTTGTTGAATGGGGTGTATAGCTCATCTCTGTGCTCAGTTTTGAGGCAGTCATGCTGTGTTGTTCCTCAGCTCCATTTCCTCATGTGAAGGAGATACAGAAGATGCCTGCAAGAGGGAAGCTGAAGTTTTTGCTTTATCATGACCAGCCCCATTAGCTCAGTCTCATTTGCTGTAAATAGGCTAGCAGGGCACTGCTGGCAGAGTAACTGCAGCAGCATGGGGTGTCCCTTGGTGCAAACTGGACTACCAGGTGATACTGCAACACTTCCAACTCAGCGTGTCTGCAGCGGGGAAGGGGGTAGCATGCTCCCTTTTCTGCTGTGTCCTGCATACCCGTGAGCTTAGCTCCTGGCTGCCCATGGGAAATACCACAGATCAGTGAATTGTCTTTCAGTGGAGCAGGTGAATAGGGTCTTAGAGCGTGAGCAACTTATGGCAGGATTACAAGACACAACTCATCAAGAATGAGCTCAGTGGCCCAGGAGGTGTCTGCCCTGTGCCCTGTACCTAATCTTCTGCTGGTGGAAAGCCCTAAGTCAGCAGCAATTCCTGAGAAGGCTTTGGCTGGTTGGGAATGGCTTGTTTTTTGTGCTGCATTCTCAGGTGCCTAAGTTACTTTCAGGAGTACTTGTTGAGGCCTATAGAAACGCAGCTTTTCCTCAGCTGCCCCATGCTTGTTACCAGCCTTGGGCAGGGTGACAGGCCCTTTGTCTGGGGTAGTGTCAGTGCCCTGATAACTCTTTTTGCTCTGCCTGTCTTGGTCCGTTCTCTAGGCACTGCTCTCTGATTGAGGGTCTCTGGGATAGCCTCTGCTGACAGGGATAAGTGTCTGTGTCCACTTTCTGATGCTGCCTAGCACATCCTGAGAGCATGAGATCAGCTCTATCTTTTTGGTGCCTGAGATTTGATTTTTAACAGTGCCACGTTTGTGTCTGCAAGCAGAAGGGACTTTCTAGATGTGAATGCACCTAGTCGGCAGTTCCTTGTGGTTTCTTGAGGTCTAAAAGTTGTTAGCTGCAGGAGGATGATCTGACACCGAATCTGCAGTGACTACAACATACTGTTTTCTTGGGTGACTGTACTGGGAACAGCTCATCCTTAGCACAGCAGACCACACTAGACCTATGTTAGCTAAGCCCAGGAAATCCATCTCCCACTGACAGATCTCAGGATGGACTCATACGTGATCCAAGTGAATGGCCATGGTGACCACGCTCCTGTACTGGACGTTCATCTCAGTACCAATGGGAACAGCTTGTCGCTGGGGAAGGTGAAAGGCCGGAAGCCAAGATGGGCTGTCAGGGCTTCTGAAATGTCAAAGAAGACTTTCAATCCTGTCCGAGCCATCGTAGACAGCATGAAAGTGGAGCCCAACCCAAAGAAAACCATGATCTCCTTGTCTCTAGGTAAGCACTAGTGCTGTGGCTGGAGCTTCTGGGCAGTGGGGTGGACTTTGGGGCTGGCAGAGTACAGGGCTCTGAAGCACAAAGCTTGTGAGAGCACCCAGGACATGCCAGGCTGTCTAACAGCTCTGCACCTGTCACGCAGCAGTGAGAACTTTATTACTTTTCAATTTTCCAAAAGGAGACCCAACGGTCTTTGGAAATCTTCCCACAAATGATGAGGTCACCCAGGCTGTGAAGGAGGTTTTGGACTCGGGACATTACAACGGTTATGCTCCATCTGTTGGTAAGCTAATATGCTCCTCCTGTGAGGGCAGGATGAAGACATGTGATAGCTCCCACCCCATGGCATGGACATGGAGTCCACACACCTCTCTCCAGCAGAACCCTGCAGCTGCCCTCACCAATACTCTTACAGGCACAGAAGCATGTGCATCTCCCAGATACCGTGAGCACCTGTCCCTGTGCGTGGACATCATATAGGTGCTTTCCTTGAGATGCCCTGAAGGCCTAAAGCTTCCTGCAGAAATCATTCCTTCTTCCCCCACCTGAGCCATTAGAGCAGGCAGGGTGTCAGGAACATAGAAAGGCTCAGAGCTTTGTTTCGCTGTCACAGGTTCCTTTTGGTCTGCCTTGGCCAGCACTTCCCTTGTGCTCCCTACTTTCATGGAGCACATGAGTCTTTTTCTTTGCATTTAGTTATCAGAAACAGCATTTACAGAGCATAGATGACAGCTGCCTTGGTGACACTGAGAGACCCAGGACAGGGAGATCTGCCCTTGTGCCAGCACTTAGTAGTGAGGGTCATATAGTAATACTTGTGTGTCAGCCTCCTGCACCTCAGAAAAGTGTCCCTAACAAACGGGTTTGCCATGGCTGGGCTGGCAGCTGTGAGCCTTGTCCTTGCAAAACACAGGGAATGTAAAACCTCCTGTTCTTGTTTCGTTCTTCTCTCTCCAGGCTACAAGTCCTGTCGAGAAGCTGTGGCTGCATACTACAGCTGCCCAGAGGCACCTCTACAGGCCCAGGTACTGGTACCAAGCTAAAGCACCCCAGTACAGTACAGAGAAGGTGTTTCTGCTCGAGTCGAGACCATACAATGTGGGCTTCTGCCCCAACTGACACCCACCTGCCCAGTGGGGGACCTAAGGCCAGCCTGCGTCCTAGTCCTAAACTGATCTCCTGCAACTCCCATCCTTTGCCCTGGGCTTCTTTCAGCTGCACTGCCCAGAGAAGGAGGCTGAGCTCCCTAGCTAGTGGAGGTTTCCTGTTTTCAGTCAGGCTTTGCACTAGCATTTTTGGCTGAGAAGCTCTCATCTGACAGAGTCTGGGGCACTTAGGAGCTGAGTAGAATATCCACATGTCTGGATATTCTTGATCTGGGTGCATTTCCACTCATTCCTGTGTGCTTTCTGCAGGACGTCATCCTAACGAGCGGTTGCAGTCAGGCCATAGAGCTTGCCTTGGCAGTGCTGGCCAATCCAGGCCAGAATATTCTAGTGCCACGGCCCGGCTTCTCCCTCTACAAGACTTTAGCACTGTCCATGGGTATTGAGGTCAAGCTCTACAACCTCTTGGTAAGTGGTAGCATGCTAGAAGGAGCAGCCCTGATATTTCTCCTTCCCAGATATATTCAGCCCTGGACACCTTGGCACACCTTACTCTGTGCCAAGCCCAGTTTCTCAGCTTTTCTTTCCTTTTCTTCATTAGCCAGAGAAGTCCTGGGAAATTGATCTGAAGCATTTGGAATCTCTGGTGGATGAGAAGACGGCTTGTCTCATTGTGAACAACCCATCCAATCCCTGTGGTTCTGTGTTCAGCAAGAGCCACCTCCAGAAGATCCTGGCAGGTGAGCCTGTCTATATGCATCTAGTATAGGGCTATAGTGTCGTATCTGCCCAAGCTGCCCGTGCCTTAATCACTGTGGTTCTGCAGGGCTGTCAGCCTGCACAGTATGAACACTGCAGCAGAGCAGCACTCTGGCCCTGGGGTCTGCCCCTCTCCCACATGACTGACTCCAGCCCAGGGAAGAGGGCTTGATCAGGATGCAGGGCTTGCATGGACAAGAAAGGCAAGGGTTATACGTTGTTATTTCCCATGTGTCCTGTGTGTATTGGACTGCCCATTTCCCTACTCTTGCTTCACAGGGAGCCCTATGGCCCTGTCAGTCACAGGGGTGTGCTCCCTGCTACCAGAGGTGGGAGGAGAAGCAGGCCTAGCAGGGCTCTGTAGTGCATGGCCAATTCAAGTGTACAGGCTGCAGGAAGAAAATATGGACCTCTGCCCTAGGGCAGAGCTTGCCTCCTTGCAGCAGAGGGAAAATCTGTTCCCATAGAGGATGCAGGATGACCAAGCTGAATGCCTTGTCTCCCACAGTGGCCTCAAGGCAGTGCGTGCCCATCCTTGCTGATGAGATCTATGGAGACATGGTGAGTATGCATTTACAGACCTTTGCACCCATACGCTGCCTTTCCCTTCTGATGTACTTTGGTCGTGGTAGCTAGCTCTCCAGAGGCAAGTTACAGCTCTGCTTCCCTGTACTATGCCCAAGTCCATGCCTGAATCTCCCAGTTCTGTAATTTTCAATCCCTAGCGGTACTTCTCATTCTCATCTAACTCCTTTCCTCTTCTCAGATGGCTCACTCCCATGTGAACACATCTTGGAGTTGGTGGCTTTCACCATCAGTTTCCCACAACATTTTTGCTTCCCTTCTTCTTGTAGTTCCTCGTTCACTTAGCCTCCCCCTTTCAGTTCTCACAGCAAGTGAGGAGAAGATAACAATCCTAACACAGCTTCTTGTACCAAAGGTGTTTGCTGATTGCAAATATGAGCCTATTGCAACTTTAAGTACCAATGTGCCAATCTTGTCCTGTGGTGGCTTGGCAAAGCGGTGGCTAGTCCCGGGTTGGCGGATGGGCTGGATCCTGATCCATGACAGGAGAGACATCTTTGGTAATGAGGTAAGCACTGCCAAGGATCGCTGTCATGGTAGTGTCTTTGGTGTGTTTGTCACCAGGGCCTTAGTGAGACAGGCATGTACTGCTTTTTTTTTGCTCTCACATGTGTGTCATCCTATTGCTCACAGGCTTTTCAGGATCTTTTCTTATGCCATCTGCTTTGATATATGGCCTGGTACCTACATCTGCAGTCTTAACACACTCCTGGTTTCTGCTGCTTCATGTATCCCTTGCCTTCCTTGTGTGCTTCTCTTCTCAGGCAGTTCCTGTGTGCATTGAAGGTATTGGCATTATTTATCTAGCATGTGAAGTCCCTATGTGGTCTCTCTGTCCTTTATCATGGTTCCACTTACCAGTGGGAGCAAAGCACCATGCAGTGCAGCCAGCGCCTTACCTGGCTGTTTGTCCATCTGTGTTACAAGAACACCCACCACCTGCGCTGGCCTTTCTACTTAGAGGCCTTTCTGCTCAGGAAGAGGGAGAAGAGAAGAGCAACTGAGTGACCAGAAGAGTTAATATTTCCTCTCCCTGGCTGATTTTGATGGAAGTGTGCATAGTGGCCCCAAATCCAAGGCAAAAGCAAAACAGTATTTTGCCATGACTCTGGCACTGTTGTATTAACTATATTCCGGACTGATTTAGGTCAATTTGGGAAACTCCAAAAATGATCTCTGTTAGTATCTTGATCTGCAACTCTGGCACGCAGAATGACATTGAGAATAGTCTGCAAACGTGGCATATAGTCAAGCAAGTGTTTTGAGGTACTCTGTATGCTTGCTGAAGAAAGATGTATGAGCTGCCCTCTATGAACAACTGCAGAAATGCAGACACGAGGCCTTGTAGCTTTTTCTTCAGTAAAGAGCAATCTCTGAGCTGCACATGTCACTGTATTTCTTTTTTTGTTGTTGTTTATTTGTTTGTTTGTTTGTTTCAGATCAGGGATGGCCTTCTAAGACTCAGTCAAAGGATCTTAGGACCCTGTACAATTGTCCAAGGAGCGCTGGAACATATTTTGAACCGAACACCCCCTGAGTTCTACCACAACACGCTCAGCATCCTCAAGGTAAACAGGCAGTAACAGACCAGCAAAGTCTGATCATGAATTGTTGTTTTGGGGGAGCTATGTCCATCCTCCTTTGTTTCAAAGTGCAGGGCAGAAGTCTTGTCTGTGACCAGAAGAGCCCAACAAATCCAATTTCAGCAAGAGACATAGTAAGCCAGGCAGAAATATTGGCTGTGACAAGTTTCAGGCAGCCCTCCAGTCAAAGCAGGGTTAGATGGGCAGACACAGCAGGCAGGAGGTTTGGCACCAGCTTGCTGAGCTCAGTTCAGTCAGTCACACCTGCCATCTCAAGGCCATGATCAACAATGCTGTTTGCATTCATTGCCCCTTTATTTGCAGGGAGCAAACCCATGTGTGATACTGGCCTAGAGTTAGGCTTCCATTTGCTGAGCTTCTTCCTGGAATTTCTCCTGTTTTGACCTTTCTCCTTTCTGCTTTACAGTCCAATGCTGACCTTTGCTATGCTGCCTTGTCAGCTATCCCTGGCCTACAGCCTGTCCAACCTGCAGGAGCCATGTACCTTATGGTAAGGAGAGAGACATGCTCTTTTCAGATTATCAGCACTCACACTGGGTCTCTTTTCCAATACCTTGTTATTCAGGTTAGTGCTCGGCACCAGGACTCTGGTACCATGTATCTTAACATTTCCCACAGCAGTAGATCTATCCTTTTCCCATTTTGGAAGGCCAGAGCAGGAAGGAGGACTCAGGCAACTACAGGCCAGTGAGCCTCTCCTCCATCCCTGGAAAAGTGATGGAACAGCTCGTATTGGCCATTGTCTCCAGGCACATGGAGGACAAGAAGGTGCTCAAGAGTAGTCAGCATGGATTCACCAAGGGGAAATCTTGCTTGACTAACCTGATAGCCTTCTATGATGGAATGACCAGCTGGATAGATGAGGGCAGAGCGGTGGATGTCGTCTATCTCGACTTCACCAAGGCTTTTGACACCGTCCCTCACAACATCCTCCTGGGCAAGCTCCGGAAGTGTGGGATAGATGAGTGGACAGTGAGGTTGATTAGGAACTGGCTGGACGGCAGAGCTCAGAGGGTGGTGATCAGCAGTGCAGAGTCTAGTTGGAGGCCTGTAGCTAGCGGTGTCCCTCAGGGGTCAGTCCTTGGTCCAATCCTGTTCAATTTATTCATCAATGGCCTGGATGAAGGCACAGAGTGCTCCCGCAGCAAGTTTGCTGATGATACCAAATCAGTAGGAGTAGCTGATACCCCAGAGGGCTGCGCTGCCATCCGGAGGGACCTGGACAGACTGGACAACTGGGCGGTGAAAAACCTCATGCAATTCAACAAGGCCAAGTGCAAGGTCCTGCACCTGGAGAGGAATAACTCCAGACACCAGTACAGGCTGGGGACCGAGCTTGTGGAGAGCAGCTCTGCAGAGAAAGCCCCTCTGCTCAGCCCTGGTGAGGCCACATCTGGAGTACTGTGTCCAGTTCTGGGCTCCACAGTACAAGAGGGATGTGGAGCTGCTGGAGAGAGTCCAGCGCAGGGCTACGAGGATGATCAGGGGCCTGGAACATCTGCCCTATGAGGAGAGGCTGAGGGAGCTGGGCCTGTTCAGCCTGGAGAAGAGAAGGCTGAGAGGGGATCTAATCAGTGTCTATAAGTACCTCAAGGGAGGCAGTGAGGAGGATGGTGCTGGCCTCTTTTCACTGGTGGCCACCGACAGAACTAGAAAAAACAGCCACAAACTGAAGCATCAAAACTTAAGGAACTTAAGGAAAAAATTCTTAACAGTGAGGGTGACAGAGCACTGGAACAGGTTGCCAAGAGAGGTTGTGGAGTCACCTTCAAAGGCCATGTGTGGCAGTCTCCACAAATGTGGAGTCTCCACATCTTCATGTGGAGATCTTCAAAAACCCGCTTGGACGCAGTCCTGTGCCACGTGCTCTAGGTGACCCTGTGTGTGCAGGGGGGTTGGACTAGATGACCTCTGGAGGTCCCTTCCAACCTTAAGCATTCTATGATTCTGTGTTGTCTACTGCACACAACAGTGGCCAGTACGTTTTACTCTCTTGTCTTTGTATAGAGCTCAATAGCTTGGACTTGGCAAGGCAATGCTATTTCACATGGATTTAATACCAGCTAGAAGATGGGAAGTCCCTGTAGCCCATGCTAGATTACCACACGTACTGTTGAAGACTGTACCCTTCTTCATACTAGCACATCTGTCTCCTGCCTGTGCCATTGCTTCTGTTTTTTTGGCCTTTCTCCATACCTAATATATTTTTTTTTACCTTCTACAGTGGATAAATTTCCACTTTCTCATCCCAATAAGCTCAAGTAAGACCTTTAAGTCTCTAACATATTTTTGAAATGTGTTGTGCCTCACAGTTTCTCAAGTTTTTCATTACTTTTAAAAATTTGGAACCAAAGTTGGAGACTTTGGTGACTGCCATGTCAATCACATGTTCTCTAGATAAATGTTTATCACTTGGCCTTGTTTCCAGGTTTTCTCAGAGTTCCATGGATCATTCTACTTGTGTTGTTTGTGTAATGTCGCAGCACTAGAATTCTTTCAGATCTTTAGCATTTCTGGAATATCTGAACATTTATTTCAAATGAAATCATCCAGTGAGAGGTTTCTTCCACATGTTCATTTAGAACTTTTATAAATGTTCTCTGGCCTTTTTTTTTATTTAAAAGTTTTTTTTTTCCTGAGTCATTTTAAAATCATTGCTGGTCGTAAACCAGACATTCCAGATGGTCAGAATGTCACTATCCTTATATGAGCTGAGCATTTCAGCCTTTCTACATCATCTGTCAATTCTATCATCCTCATGTATTTCACGGCAAGGATTTTGTTGTTAGCATTAGTGTCTTATTATCTTTTTTAACCCGTTAATTTGTCATTAGTCTCTTCTGCTTATCTATGAGTTTCTTGCATGACAGAATTACTAATGCACATTAACTACAGTTCTCTTTAAAGTTCTTTTTTAATGTCCTATTTATTGCTTTTCATTACTGGTTGTTTCCTGTATTTCACTGAAATTATCCTTTACTGTGAAACTGTAGCTTTAGAGCCGAAATTAGGTACTTTGGGCAGCTGATGCTTCCTAAAGAATTTACAGTGGGGGAAAGGGGGTCAGTGCAAGTCAAAGTGGCCCACAAGGAGCCGCTAGGTGAGGAAGAGGCTCCACAGACCTCCCAGGGCAGGGGAGGTGGATGGAATATTTCAGTAAGATCTGTCCAGGTGTGGAGGAGAGACAAATATTGGCATTTCTCTGGGCAAAGGGCATGATGCAATGGACCTGCTATCTCCACCGCTATAGGAGTCATGTGGCTTTGGCTGGGGAGGGCAGGAGGCTGACAGGAACTGGGAAAGCCCCATTTACACAGTGACAAAGCTTGAAAATATAGCCTGAAGGTTTCTTTTTTTTTTTTTGATTTACTACCAATTAATACCATGTTCAGACAACTGATTTGGGTACTAAGCAAAAGAAGAGGCCTTTCCATGATCTATCATCCACTTAAATAAAAGCCTTCTCTCCTCCCTTATTCCTCCCTTCCTCATCTCGACTTCCCTGATGTTCCCTGTAGCTTTGCTCAGGTCCATAGCAAGGCTCCAGGACTTGGGATTTCCCATCTGCTTCCCCTCCACTAAGCTTTGTTCGCCTTGGCTTTGATCATTCCCTTTTCCCCACTAGCTTACAAAAAAATATGGGGAGATCTTCAGCATGAACGTAGGCTACATGAACTGGATCATCGTCAGCGATTTCAAAATGGTCAAGGAGGTGCTTGTAAACCAAGGTGAAAACTTCCTAGATCGGCAACGGTTCCATGTGGACACTGACTTCTTTAGCCCACGTGGTGAGTTTGTATCATCCAGGACATGTATTTGGGACAGGAAGTCTAAACATGGACCCTGCAAAACACCCGTCTGCCCATGAAGGGGGAGGAGACCTGACCAGTGTCTATAAGTTCCCCAAAGGAGGCAGTGGGGAGGATGGTGCTGGCCTCTTTTCACTGGTGGCCACCGACAGAACTAGAAAAAACAGCCACAAACTGAAGCATCAAAACTTAAGGAACTTAAGGAAAAAATTCTTAACGGTGAGGGTGACAGAGCACTGGAACAGGTTGCCAAGAGAGGTTGTGGAGTCACCTTCAAAGGCCATGTGTGGCAGTCTCCACAAATGTGGAGTCTCCACATCTTCATGTGGAGATCTTCAAAAACCCGCTTGGACGCAGTCCTGTGCCACGTGCTCTAGGTGACCCTGTGTGTGCAGGGGGGTTGGACTAGATGACCTCTGGAGGTCCCTTCCAACCTTAAGCATTCTATGATTCTGTGTTGTCTACTGCACACAACAGTGGCCAGTACGTTTTACTCTCTTGTCTTTGTATAGAGCTCAATAGCTTGGACTTGGCAAGGCAATGCTATTTCACATGGATTTAATACCAGCTAGAAGATGGGAAGTCCCTGTAGCCCATGCTAGATTACCACACGTACTGTTGAAGACTGTACCCTTCTTCATACTAGCACATCTGTCTCCTGCCTGTGCCATTGCTTCTGTTTTTTTGGCCTTTCTCCATACCTAATATATTTTTTTTTACCTTCTACAGTGGATAAATTTCCACTTTCTCATCCCAATAAGCTCAAGTAAGACCTTTAAGTCTCTAACATATTTTTGAAATGTGTTGTGCCTCACAGTTTCTCAAGTTTTTCATTACTTTTAAAAATTTGGAACCAAAGTTGGAGACTTTGGTGACTGCCATGTCAATCACATGTTCTCTAGATAAATGTTTATCACTTGGCCTTGTTTCCAGGTTTTCTCAGAGTTCCATGGATCATTCTACTTGTGTTGTTTGTGTAATGTCGCAGCACTAGAATTCTTTCAGATCTTTAGCATTTCTGGAATATCTGAACATTTATTTCAAATGAAATCATCCAGTGAGAGGTTTCTTCCACATGTTCATTTAGAACTTTTATAAATGTTCTCTGGCCTTTTTTTTTATTTAAAAGTTTTTTTTTTCCTGAGTCATTTTAAAATCATTGCTGGTCGTAAACCAGACATTCCAGATGGTCAGAATGTCACTATCCTTATATGAGCTGAGCATTTCAGCCTTTCTTTTTTTTTATTTAAAAGTTTTTTTTTTCCTGAGTCATTTTAAAATCATTGCTGGTCGTAAACCAGACATTCCAGATGGTCAGAATGTCACTATCCTTATATGAGCTGAGCATTTCAGCCTTTCTACATCATCTATCAATTCTATAATCCTCATGTATTTCACGGCAAGGATGTATTTTGTTGTTAGCATTAGTGTCTTATTATCTTTTTTAACCCGTTAATTTGTCATTAGTCTCTTCTGCTTATCTATGAGTTTCTTGCATGACAGAATTACTAATGCACATTAACTACAGTTCTCTTTAAAGTTCTTTTTTAATGTCCTATTTATTGCTTTTCATTACTGGTTGTTTCCTGTATTTCACTGAAATTATCCTTTACTGTGAAACTGTAGCTTTAGAGCCGAAATTAGGTACTTTGGGCAGCTGATGCTTCCTAAAGAATCCTCAATTTTCATTAAAATGTTTCTTGTTTTATATTCCAGTCAGTTAAAATTATGAACAAGAATTGTTGAGGGCAGGTAGCTGTGCTTGGCTGGGAAGGGTGAGCAGCTCTTGGGCCATGTGGTTAAGCAAGGACGTTGGTGACAATGATGGTCCCCTTTGTTGTCATGTCTCATCTCTCTGCTGCAGGTTGGGATTGAGATGGAGCATTTCCCTGAGTTTGAAAATGATGTGGAGTTCACTGAGCGGCTCATTTCTGAGCAGTCTGTGTTCTGTCTGCCGGCCACGGTGAGTCCAGCTCTGAGAGCTGCAGTGAGCTGCAGGACCAGAGCGTGAGGAGAGGGAACAGCAGAGCGTGGGAGTGCAGGGCCGAGGGTAGCAGTGCATGCCTGCTGGCACTGAGCTCCAGGTGTGTGCTGGTTTAGAGACTGGCAGTCCTTGGATTACCAGCAGCCCTCCATAGAGCTTCAAGGGTCTTCCCAGCTCCAGACTTGCTCTGTTCTTTCCAAATTGGCTAGAACCAGTCCTTAGTCTCTGGCCCACACTGACCATCTTCACTTGCTGACTCATCAGATGGCCCTGACAAGGCCAGCAGCCCTCTGAGACACAGGTATTACAGCTAATCTGCCGGCTTTGCCCTTTCTCGTTTCAGTGCTTTGAGTACCCAAATTTCTTCCGCGTGGTGATCACAGTGCCTGAGGAGATGATCTTGGAGGCCTGCAGCCGCATTCAGGAGTTCTGTGAGATGCACTACCAGGGTGCTGAGGGGGCCCAGGATATGGAGTGTGACAAGTAACCACTATGAGCTCCTGCTCCACCAGGCCCAGCCTTGTGTGAGGTGGCAGTGGGGAAGGCCGGGCTGCTCCCTATCGGCCCCCACCTCCCGCTGCCTGCAGACCGTAGCCATCCTGTGGCTCCGCCATTTGTGCCTCTGCAGCCCCCCTCAGCACCACAGGAAGCAGCAGCTCTTCTCTCTCCTCCTACGCTGTTGCTCACAGACCCTGGCACCCAGCGCTGGTGCTCCCCACGCACTTCACCTCTGCACCTTCCCCACGGGTCTGCCGCAGCCCTGAACCAGGTAGGGCAGGCAAACAGGGCTGCCCTGCTGCAACCGCCCGCAAGGGCTCTGAGCAGCCTCTGGCCCCTGGTCCTCGTGGCTGGCAGCACCTGAGCCAGGCTGTGCCACAGGGCAGGAGACAGCAGTCCCCTCAGAGGGCAAGGAACAAGGCGCCTGAGGACCTGCTTTTTCTGGGCATCTTGAGAAGGCAGAGCTCTTTATACTCTGCCCCTTGTGCAGAAAAAGGGAGTAAGTTATTTTATCTTTTTTATTAATAAATGTTCTAATGTGCCAGTACTCATGCTGTGACCCCAGTGTGATGGTTCAGCCGAGGCATGGCAGCGGCTGGCCCCTCACAGAAACCATGCAGCCTGCCTAGTCCATGGGACTGTGTGCAGCCCTGGGCACAGTGAGGTGCAGCCCCCAGATACCTGGGCACCCCAAGGCACAGCCCCTGGGCCCCTCTGCACCCCGAGGGGCCCTCCCCCGCAACCCCAGACACTCCAAGGTGCAGCCTCCAAGCAGGCTGCAGAGTGTCCCCAGGCCAGGGGACTGTACTCACAACAGATACCGCACCAGGCCCCATGGCCCTCCAGGGCAGAGCCCCCAGGGCATGTCGCCAAGTCCCCTGCAGTTCCCCAGGCTCCTTGCAGTCCCTCTGGGCAGAGCAGGGCCATTCCCAACAGGTGCCACGACTGCCACCGCTTTGCACTCCAAAACGCTCACTGCAGCCTGCAGAAAGCAGGCCCAGTCCAGGTTACAGCTTGGCAAATTGAGGAGGAAACCCCAAAACAGGAAGGCCAAGCATTGTCAGTGCCTTGCGTGCAGGTGCCTCTGGGTCTTTGCAGGGAGGGAAGGGGGATCCCCCTCTGCAGCAGCACCTTCAGCACAGACGGAAGCCCTTTGCTGCACTGCTGCTGGAGTAGAAGTAATGAGGCCCAGTAAAGTAATGAGGAAACAATGACCAGGAAAACCACTTTCTGGGGAAACTGGAACAGTGTTTGCAGAGTTGGGGGAGGACAAAACAGACTAAAGTGTGGATTAGTTGGTCCACCAGCTAGATGGTGTTTGGCAGGTGTACCCGGAACACAACCCTTGGTGCTGGAGCCGTCACTGGTGCTGCACAACCCAGGCAGAGCCTGCACGGGAGGGAAGAAGCTTCAGGGCAGCAGGGAGCAAGGAGGAGGCGCGTGCCAGCCCGTGGCGGGCTGCCTGCATGCACTCTGCATGCGGCTGGCAGCCCAGACCTCTGCCAGGCCTCTGCTTTGCCGCACATGGCCTTAGCGTTAGCTTGTTTGCCAGAGTCAGCCTCTTAGAGCCTTGTCAGTATCAGCAAGTCTGCAACGGTGCTGCATGCCTGGCAGGAGGATTCGGTGCCTGCATGGGGCTCCCTGCACTTACCAGGCTGTGCATGTGCTGTGCTGCCCCTCACTGCTGTCCCGCGCAGCCTTGGACTTCGGAACAGCTGCTGCAGGGTTTTAGACTATCTGCATATGTAAGGAAGGCAGAAAGGCAGGAAGGCAGAAAGCTCACCAGTGAAGCAAAACTAGTAGCCGAATGCATATTTATTTTTTCTTCTTCCTTTTTTTTTTTTTTTCTTCTGTTTTTCTCTTCTAAGTAGTATGTTGGTAAAGTGTTATGGGATCTCACTCTTACAGCCTTATTTGCATAAACCGAAATAATCTATCTTGTTTCTTTTCTCTTCAGTGTTTCAAATAATCGAGTACTGTAATGCAGTGAAGCTGATAAATGAGCATAGCCCTTGAATTATTTTGTAAAACATAGAAATGTAGTCCAGGGATGACCTTCCCAGGTTATTGATCCTTATTTCCTGCATCTGAACAGACTGCCTTTGAGTGTGTAGGAGTAATTTCGTGTAATTACTGCAGTAAACAGCACCAAATTTTAGCTCAGATATTTCTACAGTATTGTTTTATTTGCGCCATTCATACTGGGATGCCTGTTTATGTCCTTCCATAAGAAAATGAAAAATTAGATAGACAAAAATAAAACCAGAGGATTAAAGTACAGCAGTGAGTAGAAGGTTTAGTAGTAAGGAGGAAGTAGTAGTGTTAATTCAAATAATGGAAAGTAGGTGACATTGAAGAATACCAGCCTAGGTAGGAAATGGAGTAATGTCAGATAGATATGGCCAAGATGTTTCTTTATTAAGGCAAGTAATCAGCAACAACAACTACAGCTCCTTGTTCTAATTGTACAGTGGGTGAGAATTATTGATCACCATGAATTGGCAGAAATAATTAGAGCACAGGTATTAACATCCATTGGTCAGGAAGGATAGAAAACCAAGTAATGTCACAAATGACAAGTATGTGTAAAACTGACAAGTAATGGCAGGGGGATAAAGGGTATTGGCAGGGGGATCAAGTATAATGGCTTGTCTCAGGACCTCTTCCTAGAGGTATTAAAAGCAGGTATAGTGAAGGCTTTAGTGATCTGCATGTGATCACATTCACAGATCTCCTTGGTATTAGAATAAAAATTCAGTGAAGGACTGTGTAATTTTGGAAGAGTTTTCAGCTTCTTGGGTAGAGACCAGAAAGTAACATTGTTAACAAGAAGAATCAATTTTTCCTGATGCAATGGGGCGATTTGTTCACTGAATTAGTCACCAAACTAAGATATTGTGTGGCAAGCAGCCACCATCTTGTAAAAGAGAGTCATGGAAAAAAAAATCTCCAGTCACACAGTCCTACTGATTTGGTTTGAATTCTGGAGAGAGAAGCAAATGTCATGTTAACTGAGATGCACAGATACAAGCATGTGGATAAGGTGTAAGGCTTTCCTAAACAGTACATTAGATTCATGTTCAACAATCTGATCTAGAAACAAAGCAAACAGTTGGTTTCATGCAGCTGTGCTGATTTCGTGATACTTGCTAATGATCTGTGATCCAGTTTGATGTCTTTTTTTTTGTATCCAGACTGCTACATCCTTGGAAGCAGCATTGGTGCTTTTTTCTTCCTTTACAGCTACAGAGCCAGGGCAACATGAGGTTCATGTCAGCCCATTTCTCCAGCATGCCAGGCTCCTGCCCCTCAGTTTGTATCATCTGCAAAAATGTTGAGAGTACATGCTGTCCCATTGACCATGGCATAGATAAAGGTATTAAACTGCCCACAAAACTCTACTCTTTCACTCAGAAAGTTGTAGTCTCTCAGGAGTGCTGTTTCTGTAACACAGGTGTTAATTCCCTGTGTTCTGCTGCTGCTAAATTTTGTGGAAACAAAATACATGTGTGTATATATATATATAAAATCTTACTGCCACTTCATTTTGTGACAAAACACCTAGGAAATAAATGCACATTTTCATTTGCTCTGATATTCCCTCAGTGAAAGTGGAAAAATTTAAGTTCCATTTTCTGATGGAGTATATTTTAGCCCATTGCTATGTAAAAACTCAGGTTTCGTTTCCATACATGCAAAGATTTTCCCGTGGAAATCAATACCCAGCTTATCTATAAAATGCATTTTGAACAATTGCATAGTTTATAGCCATTGACTTTGCCTATTTGTTAGTCGTGCTCTCGTCTTTGGTGGTAGTTTTACCAGTTTGTCTGCTCCATCACATTTCATAGACCATCTGCTGGATGATGATGGACAAATTCCTTGCTCCTAAGTGTAGCTTGGCTCTTTAATAAAAGAACCACTTACAGTGATATTGCAATTGCAAGCCAGGATTTACTTGTCTGATGGGGAGGGGTGGAGAATTGTTTACAGGGCTTTAGTGTAAGCTGTAAATTCAGGTTTAGCTCTGGGACTAAACTGTGCCAATTCAGACAAACCGTTTTAGATTACACTATTTCTAAAGGGACAAACAACTTTACAATTTACAATCAAACACAAGGCAAAGACTGCACCAATGTTTGTCTGGGTGCAAACTAGTCTGTGCCAGAGAACACTTGGCCGTGGAGAGAGGTTTCACACAGGACATCATATTAGTCATTTGTGTGTCTCCTTCCTCCGGAGGCTGTAGTGCTCCAGGGCTAGTGAGGTGTCAGTAAGAAAGGCACACGTATTCCTTGTGGCATTGCTTAAAATATTATTTATTTGAGCTAACCCCAGAAAGAATAAGAAGATAGACTAGATAATCTTATGTGCTTTCAGTTGCTGGGAATTCCAAGTTGTGGCATGTCAGGTGAACGTGCATATAGTTGATTTCTAAAAATAATGTAATCTGAAAGTATATCTTAAGCTTTTTAGCTACTAGACAGATTCTTATCCACAAGGCAATTTCTGCAATTAATATGCAATAATACTGACAGGTAAAATAATCTGAGAATCGGTTTAGAATAGCAGTGAAAAATTACGATTTACAATTCAGTGGGACAGTCTTGTAATCCATACTGGCATTGGCAGTGGTGGATAGATTTCCAGTTGCAAGGTTAGAAAAGCTTCTTGAGAGGGTTTTTCAGCTCCCTGCATGCTTTAATATCCATTAGTTTATTCTTGATGTAATTGGATGGATTTCCATGAGTTTGGACTACTTCACATCTTCCTGTGCCTCTCCTCCTCTGCAGAGGCAATTAAAGAACACCTGCCATTAACAATTAGCAAACTAAGTTTATCATGCAGACAAGGTACAGCACCGGCCTGAGAGACAAGCTGAATGTGCAGCATAGCATAGCACAGGCCTATGTCTGCTCAAGTTAACTGTTGTTGGGTGACAGGCTCCTCAAAGTGTGTGCTGGTCCTGAGTTAGGGCCACGGCAGAGCAAATGGAGCAAATTCTGCTTTGCCTGAAGAGGAACCTTTTGTAACAGGAATTAGCATAGACATCACATTTCTGCTCCTATGCATCCAGTACTTGCCCAGCAGCTGCATTCCCTGTCCTCTTTGGTATATAAGGGATAGAGAACCAGGCTGCATGGGCAGTTCACAAGGTTCAGTTGCCTCTGAGTCCCCAACAAACACCTTCGGTTGAAGAAGGAGTGTAGAAA